ATTTTAAAAAGAAAAAAATATCAATGTTTAATTAATTAAGTAAAATTAATATTTACGAAAAATTATCTTATGGTTCACTCTGTAGGGGATTGTAAAATCAAAAAACACTCCTCTTTCAATGGTTTTAATTTTATAACCTGTTAGAGTACAAATTGTAAAATATGACATCTTAATATTTATATATTTTAATATATATATATATATATACACATTTTTTACCTTTTCCGGGGGACAACTTTGGTGTGGACAATAGTGTTGATCGATAAATATGGGGTTGCCCGCTCCTATAAGAATAATGTCCTCGTATGATATCGATCTCGCAAAGCCCAATCCTCCCTATGGTACGTGTTGGAGATTTTAATTAAAAAAATTACAAATCCATTATTTTCAAAAAAAAAAAAAAATCAATTCCAGCGGTTACAAATTCATTAAATCAACTTTGTGTGGGTTGCCCATGCCTTCTTGCTTTTTTAAAAATGGAAATGGTAACAGCCATGCGTTTTGTCTTATTGAAAGGGCTATGCGTTTTTGCTTTTTAAAATGTTTTAAAGCAATAAACTTCAGTTACATTTGGGAAAGCCTATAAATAGGCAGCCTCCATTTTTACCAAAAAGATTTGACACAATTTCATGATATGCACTCTTATTTCACGAACACAATATACAAACTCTCTTTAGGCAAGGAAAAGGTGGTGGGGTAGAGCTTTGTTTACAAGAGTGCAGTACTTGTAAAGATACAATAAGGAGGTTGGGCTGTTGTATCCTGGGGGCGGCGTGACCATAAAAATCTGCTGCACCAGTGGCACGAAACGTCCTAAAGAGTGATTGATCTACGCCTCAGCTCAAGCTCCTCATACTTTCGGTGACATCTTTCTACTTTTTATTTTCATCTTTAATTAATTATTTTTTGCTATTCTTTTGTCTATTTTCTTTTCTATTTATTTTTTATGAGGAACAACAATTTTAGGACGTTTCGAAAGAAAAATTTTTTTTTTAAAAAAAAATGAGTATACCTCGTGGAAAACCTGTTAAGCTCACTAATGATCTTAACATGCCTTTTCGTTTTAACGATGAGCATTTCAAAAGATGGAAAGAAAAAGTTTTATATTATCTTATTTTGTTAAATTTGGCATATGTCCTCAATGAGGAAAATCCTATTAATTTGTCAACCGAAGGTATGAGTTCTTAGATCCTAATATGATTATTAGCACATGCTTGAATGGTAGACTATTTATTTTAATGGCATGTGAATAAAAAAAAATAATAATAATAGTGTTAACCCAATTACTTTCATATGTTGCTCTTGCAAATGAATATACATATTTTTATCATGACATGTTGGAGCTTAATGATATTACTGGTTTATTTAATTTCCAACGACTTGAAATATCATAAATGGAAATTGTTATGAATTTAATGAGTGTAGATATGTGCTCCTTTTGCTGCTGTCGTACTCTTAATTTGTGAGATATTTTCAATAGTAAAAGAAAAAAAAAAGAGTAAAAAATTACCTAGCATGTGAAACTATTATGTCATGATGCAATCTTTAAGGAGTTGTATTTGCAGCTAATAAATTTCAACATGAATGTGATTTAACTCCAACGGCTAGTAAAAATATTAAGTGCATTGGTTATGCCATTATGTGTAAAATATTTTTTATAATCATATATTTTGTTAGTTGATTATTTTTGCTCCCTGACAAATCTTTAGTGAATGTTGTGTTGTCTTACTCATTTAGGAACCATGGAAAATGGTCTATGAAAATTTTGACCAAGTGAAAAGACTAAAGAAGAGAGCTATCCCATTTCGTCCATGCAACAATTTTGAAAAAAAAAAAAAGGACTTGATATTTGGGTTGATATACTCCGGAAACGTAAGTTAAACCTTTAAGCTTACATGACCAAGGACCTTTTTGTGGCGATGAAAAGTGAGATGAGCAAATATGCTCTTATAAAAATCTTGTGAGCAAATGAGTTTCTTCATGAACTCAATTAGTTGAGAAATGTGATAATCACATATTTGAGATGCTCCCAATGTGGGGGATTGTGATATCCCTATATATTATTATTGGTGATGAGACCAATGATGCCTAATTGAGATTTTGCATTGCATTCCTATTACACAATAAGGTGTAATGGTGCTTAAGAAAGTAAATGTGATATGCACTCCTATTATACAATAAGGTATAATAGTGCTTAACAAAATAAATGTGATATGCATTCCTATTATACAATTATGGTATAATGGTGTATGATGGAAAAAGAATAATAAGGCACTTGAGAAAAGGGGTATGTGATGGACATTCCTATTGTACAACAAGGTACAATGGTGTTTGAGTTAAAAATTCTTAAATACATGTTTTGACATGTATGGAAAGAAAAAAGGTGGTTCACTAGCTCGATATTCCAGATGAATTGAGAATTTGAGAAATATGAATGTGAATTTTATGAGTTAGCAAACAAGTGGGTTGATGTGAAAAAATGAGAATATGAATGAGTTAAATCTCTTCGTTACCCACTATACCACCAACTAGGCCTTTGGCAAAAATAAAAGTTGGAGGAAAATCTATGATCATAGTCCAAGGTCTAGTGCTCATCGAGGAGAATGGGATTTAAGCCCAATAATGTAGAACTTCCTATGAGGATACCCAACCCGAATTTTAAGAATTGGGTTTCGAATGGGAAAAACGAATCATAGAGAAGTCGTTGTTGAAAGATGTATCAATATTTAACGAAAAAAAATTTTTGATCCCATTCCTAAGGTGAGGATGCATCGATCCCATAACGAATTGAGGGTTGAGTTTTATACTCTTAATGAAATTTGTAGCTCATAGAGTGGGGTGTCTTAGTTATGGGAGCATCCTTGACAAATTTCACCTATATGGATGTCGGAGTGGGGCCGCTCCTATGAGAATAGGGCTATTCTCTAAATCATCCATGAATACCAGGATTAGGCACAAAGGCCGTAATGTGCCGGCTTACCAAGCTCAAATTAACACCTGGATTATAATGTGTGTGATATGGTCTCTTATATCCCCTAAGTAGTCCTAGTTCAAGACTTTGCTCACTAGTGACTTTGGAATAGGAATCATTGACTCACTAAGTAGAGGTTCAAGGCATTGCTACCTCTATTATGCATATTAATCCATCCTTTGCCTATATAATTTTCATCTTTTTAAATTTCTTTTATTTTAATTAAAATGGAGGGGGAATGTTGGAGATTTTAATTAAAAAAATTACAAATCCATTATTTTCAAAAAAAAAAAAAAATCAATTCCAGCCGGTTACAAATTCATTAAATCAACTTTGTGTGGGTTGCCCATGCCTTCTTGCTTTTTTTAAAAAGGAAATGGTAACAGCCATGCGTTTTGTCTTATTGAAAGGGCTATGCGTTTTTGCTTTTTAAAATGTTTTAAAGCAATAAACTTCAGTTACATTTGGGAAAGCCTATAAATAGGCAGCTTCCATTTTTACCAAAAAGATTTGACACAATTTCATGATCTGCACTCTTATTTCACAAACACAATATACAAACTCTCTTTAGGTAAGGAAAAGGTGGTGGGGTAGAGCTTTCTTTACAAGAGTGCAGTATTTGTAAAGATACAACAAGGAGGTTGGGCTGTTGTATCCTGGGGGCGGCGTGACCATAAAAATCTGCTGCACCAGTGGCACGAAATGTCCTAAAAAGAGTGATTAATCCACGCCTCAGCTCAAGCTCCTCATACTTTCGGTGACATCTTTCTACTTTTTATTTTCATTTTTAATTAATTATTTTTTGCTATTCTTTTGTCTATTTTCTTTTCTATTTATTTTTTATGAGGAACAACAGTACGTAGAACAAAAGAAAATTGTTTTAGATTGAGGAATAAATTTCAAGTTATTATCTATATATAAAGAAGAAAATTTATTCGTACCGCCCATGTCTTTATCCTTGCTCCATTCTGAGTTCCATTAAAGGTGCTATTACGAACATGCACCTCTTCCACCACATCATTGGATCCAACTTGTCCAAGGCTTCCCACACTACAAAATTACACGTACCGTACAATTAATCACACAACATTAGACATATATAGATCAATCATTAGATCAATTAAGTTTTCCTTTTCACCAACCTGATCCCATGTTCCGGCCCGCAAGTTAAACGTGTGATGTTAATGTTGGAACTACCACCGTTAATAGCTATACAATCATCTCCTATTATACAAATTAATTTAGATATATAGACATATTAATTAGTACAGTGCTAATCATAAATAAAAAATAAGTTAGAAATAAATACGATTTGGTTTACCTGTTTCAATATAGCTCTATTAAGAAAGTGGTGGGGTAGGATGGCAGGAAAGGAAAGGGGCCTATGGAAAAGAGTGCTGAATACAAAATACGGGGTTGAAGAAGGAAGGTGGTTGGAATGGGTGAGGGGTGAGATTAAGGGGGGCTCATATTGGTGGAGGGACTTATGTAGAATAAATTCTATTTTACCAAATAGAGAGAATTGTTTAGGAGTGGGCTTCAACATTAATTTAGGGGATGGAGGGGGTATTAGATTTTGGAAAGATGCAAGGTTAGGAGAGGTGAACTTAGCTACCCGTTTCCCCAGACTTTTTCTCTTGTCTACAGGAAAAGATAACAAAATCTGAAACTCCTCTCCGTCAACCATGCTCTCGTTCGCGAGCGTGGTGGCTTAGCTGGAAACGCCGGAGATGGGGGGCAGAGGCCGGCCGAGAAAGAAAGATCCGCCGCCTAAGGGTGGTTCTGCAACAAAAACAAAAGATCCGGAAGCTGATAATGGGGAGCAAAATAGCATCTCAGTTGAGGAAACCAACAAAGAGCAACCAGAGGTCGTGAAGCTTGCTACACGCGATCCTCACCAGATGGGTCTTGAAATTGAGAAATCAGGGGTATTGAGCCCAGATCTAGGGGAGAAAGAAGGGGACGATGAAGGGATCTTGCTAGATCTAGCTGCCTCGACGCAAGGCCAGAGGAAAAGCAGATCTGATGCTGGTTCCAGGGATGATAAAGCAGATAAGGGGAAGAACGAGGCCGGCCCCGTGGAAGGGAAAGCAGTGAAGGGGAAGAAGGGAGTGCACTCGGAGACTCAGCCTTCTGTCACCCAGATGAAGCAACCTGCTGGGGAAAAGGATGCTGGTTCTACATCCTCTACGAAGATTTCTCCTAGTGCTCGGTGGAGTGACTTGATTGAGAAGGAGAAAGGGGAATTTCAACCATCCCTAAAGCAGAAGCCAGTGCGTAGTTGGGCTTCGGTTGTGGAAGGGAATAGGGATATCAGTAAAGGATGGGATTTGCAATACATAAAACCTCAAGATCCAACTGGTGCTGTGGTTATTACCGAGGATGAGTGGGTTAAAGGGTCAAAGATTTGGGAGAATGCTCTTGTTGGGTACGTTCTGGGATCTAAACCTGAGTTTAAGGATGTGGCTAATTTTGTGAATAACAGGTGGAGGGAATTCCAGGTGCCTAAGGCATTTATGCTGCGAAAGGGAGTTTTCTTGTTTGATTTTGATAATGGAAATGCAAAGCAGGCGGTGTTAGAGAGGCGTTGGACATTTAATGGGCACCCTTTGATTTTGAAACAGTGGACTCCAGATTTTGATCCTGACAATTTGGATATCGGTAAGATTCCTGTCTGGATCCAATTTCCTGAACTCCATTTGAGTCTGTGGAACCCTGAGAGCTTAGGAAAGCTAGCAAGCTATGTGGGAGTTCCTATTGCAACTGATGCATTAACAGCCAAAAGGCAAAGAGTGGCTTATGCTCGTATGCTAGTAGAGATGGAAATCATGGACACTCTACCCCGTGCAGTTCCTATTATTGGTCCAAAGGGTGTGTTCCAACAGCCTGTGGTCTTTGAATGGGAGCCTATCAGATGTGGTAAATGTAGAAACCTGGGGCATGAAGAGAGGAAATGTACTGCTAAGGAAAAAAAGGTGTGGGTTCCAAAAAAACCTGTCGAGGAGCAGGTGATAAATCAGATAGTTGGCAAGAAGTCTATAGAGGGGAATGATGAAGTATGTGGTGGTGAAATGCAAACTGCTACAAATGTGAAGCAGAGTACACTTTCATGTTCTTCTGGAGAGCTGATAGGGGAAAGAAATGAGCAAAGTCCAGTGCAACTGGAAGTGGGAGCTGTGAAGTCAATAAATCTATAGAGTGAGATTAGTACTGGCACAGGAGATAAAGAGATGATGCAAAAGGCAGCAGGGGGAGAATCTTCTGTAAGTAAACCTCTCTCATGATATATCTTTCTTCATGGAATGTGAGGGGTTTAAATGACCCTATAAGACAAGTAGATGTTAAGAAGTTTATATGTTCAAATAAAGTCCAATTTATGGCTTTATTAGAAACTAGAGTGAAACAAGAGAATAGCAGTCGAGTTGTGCAAACTTTTGGTAGGCAATGGGGATGGTTGAATAATTATAACTCTCATCCTAATGGTAGAATTTGGATATTATGGAATAAAACTGTTTTGAGGGTGACTGAAGTAATTCAAACAGACCAATTGTTACATGTTGAAGTATGCTCTGCAATTGGGGATGTTAAATTTTTGTGCACAATAGTCTATGCTTTTAATACTTTTGATGGTAGACTAGCATTATGGGATCAAGTTAGAGCTCTAGACGTTGAAAATGTGCCATGGATAATTTCTGGAGACTTTAATACAACTCTAAATTATGGTGAAAGGGTGAAGCCTAGTGGAGTTGTTT